TACTTATCTTGCTAATACCACACCCTCAGTGCAGGGCAGATCAGGGACCCCAGGATGGTGGTGAGACAGCTCTGGCTTAAAAGCAAGAAAGAGCCATGGTTTAAACAGAAAAACCAGAAAAAATCTTCAGCCTGGGATGTGATGCAAAATAAATGTAAAAAGCTACCATTGAAAATAGTATGAATCATTATCTAAAAGGCCATTCTCAAGGGAACTTAGCAAAGAAATTAATGAAAGAGAGCCATAAACATAAAATTTGCCTGAACCACATCAATTTGCTAAGCCTACACTCGGAATCTCTTTTGAAAAAAGACAGGTAAAATGTGAATTTTTCAAAAAAGAAAATCCATTTCCTGAGCCTTGAAATATTATGTATATTGGCTGACAATTTACAACAGAACAACACTCCACTTTTGTAAAATCGCCTTTGAACATGTTTGCACTGGGATAGATCCACTTATATTCCTAAAACTGTTAGACGAGAACAAAACCTAAATAGCAGGACATCTTCTGAGTTTATGGTTTCCTTGGTTTCGCAGGAGCTGCCATCCTCTCTAAAGAGAAGACACTGCCTCCTCCATGTGCCAATGGGCTGCCACAATCAGCTAGAATCCTAGAACTCTGCCCCTTCCAAGAGGATTGAGGGTGACAACCTCCTATGTGAAAACATTGGGACATCAACATGTGACCTGGCTGCCTGGACCAGGCAGTCACACATCTATCTCATACCACCTTTCCCAAACTCCGAGTTATTCAGTCTAAATAAGACCAGGTGCAGGACATCAAAAATTCATGCAGTGCACGTGTGGCCATGCCAAGCTAAGACTAGTTCCTTCTCAGTGTCTTTTTGTCCAACAAAGGTTCCAAAAATTCTTGGCATTCAGTCACACCCAGGGTCAACTTATGACCAGAGCAACGACAGTTATTATTCTGTATTAAATGCCCACTGATAACATGGCATGGTGTCATGGGAATTGAAGGGTCAGAGAAGCCCAGAGCGGCTACCACCAATGATCTCCCAGAAGGAGAAAATAAAGAAAAGTAGGAGGAAGGAAGTGGAAAGAAGAATGAGAAGGAACAAAGCAAAGGGGAAAGGAGCAGATGGGTGCTAGTCAGGCCTGTACCTGCCTCACTGGGGCTTTTTACTACTCGAGTTAGCCTCATTTTCACCTCAGGTGTAAAAGTTACTCCACATCTCAAGTTCAAGATGACTTGATCTGAATTTTTGTTAGATGTTCAAGCTACATATCTGGGTCAAGGCACAAGTTTGTACTCATCAACTCTATTTTTTCAAGTATTATATCGCCAATGAATGTTATTGTTTTTTGAGGAGAAAAGTTTTAAATCAGGCACTGAAAATTTATCGATAGTATGATCCAATTTTATGTAAAGAATATATAAGTATATGAATAGTAAAAGTGTCTGGAAGGGTATACATTGCTTAAATTCTGTGCTTCTCTCCCTAGCTGCCCAAAACAGTTCTTTTGCAGCCTTTCACTCTTTGACTCTGCACCTTCTCTCTGAAGGGCCACATCTACTTCCATGTGCTCCGTTATCATCCATCCTCCAATGGCTCTCAAATCCTTATTTGCAGCCCGTTCATCTCCTCTGAGCACCAGATCAATACATTCAAATGACAATAGCATATCCCCATCTGAGTGTCACACAGGTACATCAAACCGAATTTATTTTAAAGGAATTAATCCTCCCCACCCCATCTCCCCACAAATCTTTTTCTCTCACCTAACAATAGGAGCAAGAAAAAATGTTAGTTCACTTTCCCATCGCCCCACCTTTAAAACTGGTGTTACATGAGTTTCTACATATGCATGATTTAGTAGGCTTACCATACCCAGCAACTTTAAGCCAACCTGGTTTTGTCTGTACTACAAACATTACAGTACATACAGGGAAACTTGGATATAAAACCGGGTAAGTGAATAGAGGATTTTACCCTTTCCTGGCCTCATATATAAAGCAGGATAACATCCCCCAAACAACTAGAAATATATTGCAGAGGCTGGTGTGATCATGTCTGAGGAAACACTTTGGATTTTTAGAAAAGAAAGAAAACTACTCCTGTGAGAAATTATTTTAACAGTTGCCTTGCAGGAATGACAGAACTTTACACAGTAGTCACTTAATAAATGTTAACCTTTATTGTTACTATTATTTATTAAATGACACTAAAACATGGCAGAATGCCCCAGCAAAACAAAAGTCAACCAAAAAACTATCAACCCTGCATTCTAGGTAATTAAGGGTGCTCAATTTTCTTAATTAACTACTATGTTGCAGAACATTGTAAGTACTTTGCATATATTACCTCATTGAATCCTCATAATAAGCCTTATCTATCATTTCAGAGAAGAAATTCAACCTACCTCATTTTTAATCTAAATATTTCTTCCATTCAATATGTGTTCCAATCAATCACTTGCTTCATTCCCATCACTTTTCTTTCTCAAAAACTTCCTAAAAATCAATACCCATTTTAGATAAATAAAAACACATAGATGAATAAAAAGTAAAAAAGTAAAGATCATTCATTATCCTTCTACCCAAAGATAACTACTGTTTCTATCTGAATATCTATAACTCCAGTTTTTAGTGTCCTTTTTTTAGTGTCCATGTTTTATTAGTCTTAAAAAAATGGAATTATACTTCAAATACTTCTATCTACCCATTTTTTCTTTCTCACTTCACAATGCATAATGAATAGCTTTTCCTGGCAATATAGATTTCCATCAGCATACTTATCCTACTGTGTAAACATTCCTTACTTTATAACCAATCCAATGTGCTAGATACTTAAATTGTTTCCAATTTTTACTAGCTTAGACAGTGCTGGGATGAACAGCCTTGTACATACAATCTTTGGGCAATTATTCAATTACTTCCTCAGGACAAAAGGTTTACATAGTTTAAGGCTTATGATCTGTATTAACAAATGGCCACCACTAGGGTGTGAAAGGCTCCATTTTGCCACACCCTCACTGACACTATACAGTAACAGATAGAGACTTTCATATGGACCCCAATTATTTTCTAGTAAAAAAAGATTTAGTGGGTCTGGGTGTTCAGTGGGATAATATTCAAACAACTCTCCACAACTGGCTTCACCCAGCTTTCCAAAATTATCTATTCCCACTCTCCACACTATCCACTCTAAGCAGAAGGATCTCCTGACTGTCATAGGAAGAGGGTTCCTACTTCCATGCCTTTCTCACACCATGCCCCCCTCGTCTTGTCTCATGGAATTCCCTAACCACCCTACCCCATGCAGGACTCATTTTCAATTGCCACCTCCTCCATGAAGCTTTAGCCGACTAGCACATCCCACAGAAGCTTTTGCCTCCTTTGTGCTCTCAGAGGGAACATATGACAATGAGTACATGCTTCAGATATTCTGTTATCTTTTGGTTTGTACATTTCTTATCTCTCCAACTTGATTATAAACTGAAGGACAGGGATGGTTTCTTTCTTTCTTCTTTTTTTTCTTTCCAGCATTAATATACAACTTTATTGATGATACACAAATTAAATCAATGAAAATGACAGAAGGGAGCTTACTTATGATGAATTGGTTCACTGTCACTTATGCAGAAGAAAAGCAAAATATTTCAATCTAGGCAGCGAGATAAAAAGCAACAAACATGTTTTCAGAACAAGTAGTGATATTCGTTCATCCATCTTAAACCTAAAGACCAACTCGGTTAAATATCAGCATTGATGATACAATATGATATTCATTATTCAAAACTGGTAGCTGAAAGGATTCCTTTACCATATAAACAAGGTGGAGAAAATGAATAGTTTACAATGTGTGTTGCTTCCAAATTACAAAATCAAGGTGTTATTCCTGGCTCTTTGGGAACATATGTTCAGCCAGTTTGGCCATGAATTTTCCAACTTTTACTTTCACCAAAAAATCATGGTGGCTTTCTATTCCCAGAACCTTATCAGCACACACTTGAAATTCTTTTAAAAAGAAAAAAAGTGAACCTTCACCGCATTGATTCTGAGTAGGTTCATTTTCTTCCCATTTGAAATTATCATTTATATTCTCAAATATGACCAGAAGTTTAAGAATAACTTCTTTGTTCTCCTTCTTATTAAAGAGGGAGCCCAGTGAAGATGGTACTTGGGCCCTGAGCAGTTCCCTAGTCATGGCTGGATTTTCAGCCAAATTCAAAAGGAGTTTCAGAACCTGAAGTTTGGTTTCTTCATTTCCCGCTGAAAATAAACGAAAAAAGTCAGAAATGGAATTAGCAAGCATGTGCTGATACTCATTAGTAACAGTCATATTTGTAAGCAATCTCAGTCCAGCAAGCTGCACAGATGAGTTCAATCGAGAAGTGATTGTGTCATCACACACTTGATTCATGTATACCTTAAGCCTGCGCTGATTTTCAGCATTCACACTCAAGTTATTCAGGACAATTAAAGCCTTTTCCTTAACTATGGGATCCCGCGTATTGAGAATCTTTGCGACAATTGGGAGACCACCGAGATCACGAATAATATCTCTGTTAAATGCATAAGCAGCATTGTTACCCAGAGCAATTAAAGCTGCTTCAAGAATATAAGGCTTTTCAGACATCTCAACCAAGCAAAGAACCTTTTGCAGCTCTTGAGGGGACAAAATGGTATCATCTGAATTGGGGGAAGCCCGTTTCTGGACAGCCCGACGTGCCCGGGTAGCCCTGGCCCTTGCCCTGGCCCTGGCTCTGGTTCCAGCTTCAGTCCCAATCCGGGCCCAAGGTGGGTACCATACTATACTCTTGCTCTCATTGCTGTCATCATCATCATCAGACCAGTCATTATACCTGGCCCCAGAACAGTCCCCAGCATCATCCACATCCCCAGATCCACCCTCAGCCATTTTTTCCTTGTTTTGTTTTCTTCCCCTAGTCAGTTTATAAATGCAATAGCAGGCGCCAGCCCCAATCACCAGGCCTGCAGTCACCCAGCCTACTTTCCTGGCGTAGCCCATGCAATCGTCCCTGACAATAGCAGGGACCAAGGAATAGAGTAGTCACTCAGGCTGGGGGAGGAAGGCTGTGGGACTGGGCTCAAGCCTGTGGAGGGTGATCGTCTTCAGCCACTTCAAGGCCACAATAGCTGATTCTGGAGGTTGACCTAGGAGTGGAAGAATAAAATCGGGTTTGAGTTTCTCTTCTGCTTGTGTTGTCCCATGCAGGGAGTTGTGCAGAGGGACAAGATAATAATAATTGAATGCTAGGTAGGAAATGTAGATTGTTGACAAAATCTCTATGCCTCTCATTTCAGCCTTTCCCTCCCCACCCCAGGTCACCCCGCCCAAAGCCTAGATAATGCCAGTGGAATCCACAGATTCTGCTGGGGTCTCAGTCACCACAACCTCAGATGTCCCCAGGGACCTGACTAGAACCCTTGCACTAACCTCCTCAAGACAAGCAGTTCGCCCCTTCTGTTTCCTGGTGGTGTGCCACGCCCAACAACCTTTCCAATCTGCAGAGAGACCAGAGCCAGTGAGAACGGAGCACTTGATGGATTGACTGTTGATTTGTTGCTTTCCTGATTCACCATTCCGGCTATCAGGTTTGTTTTTAACCTCTTTATGCCATCCCAAACATGCACAGGTCTGCCCCCTCCCTAGCCTGAAATGGGAGGGAGGTAAGGAAAATAAAGCAGGATTGGAAGAGCCTGTCCAAAGTGCGAGCGATTTCTAACCCCTCCCCCATTCCAGGCAGCCCCCACGCCCACACCGACCTCTACTGATCGGAGGAAACTTCCTCCCTCGCTTCAAGCGGAGCCACCTGCTATAGCAGACCTGCAGGATGACAGATCGAAAACATGGGGAGTAAGTGCTGTTGAGAGAGGAGGATTATGAACAAACTATCCGATAGGTTTCCCTGCTGTCATTTCCCCCACTTCCCCCCCACCACACACACACAAAGCACGCCATTTCGCCACAGTCCGGGGAGTGCAACAAATACATTCGGACTCAAACCTGTACCTAGATTATTACCTTCTCTGCCTTCTCCCCACCCCCGCGGCCAACCCCGTCCCTCCTAGAGTCCCCAGATGGTCTTACCCTCAAATCGACCTTCACCGATTAGGATTAATTTCCTTCCTCTTCTTTTGCCTGGCGTTGTGCCGCAACCTACAGAAAGACTGGCCACCCGGGAGAGGCTTGGACCCACTAGACACAGAGCCATGGTCAGGAAGACACAGCCACAGGCAGAAAGACGGGAAACTGCCGCCACTGCGTGCTTGGTGGACGGACTAGTCCCCAGAACACAAAACTCTTTTCTAATTCGGAGGCCTGGTTGTCAGAGGTTTCCCACCCTTATTACCTCTCTTGGGGTTCTGCTGACATATCACGTTGCATCTCACCACCCCCGCCCCCATATCCAGCCATTCCCCTCCGGCACTGTCCTGGTGGACTAGGGGCCAACACCCAGGCCACAGCTCCCTTTCCGGATTGCGGGCCTAGGCTCCCAGCAGATTCCCATCTCCCGATCTCTGAGCTTTTCCCCAAACACTCCCCAGCTCACCGTTTCGCAGCATCGAAATGGGGTGCAGGCGGGACATATGTCTTGGAAAGCGGGCGGCGAGTGGGAGAGACGACGGAGGCGCCTCAGTACCCGCGACGGTCTCGGCCCTACACCCTCTAGCACCCTGACTTTATGGAATCTCCCAGGCACTGACCTGCAGGGATCCGGGACAATTTTCTTCTCCTCTTCCTTTTTCCCTCCGCCGCAGGCCCGCCCGCCCTCAGGGCAATGGGGAGCTGGTACTCAGACGGGAACAACGACCAGGACAAGAAGGACTTCTGCACACGTCAGCTCTTGGTCACGTGAGAGCTACGTCATCCACCAACTCGGGTCCCCAATTTCCCCTCCCACCAGCAGTGCGGCAGAAGAGGGCCCGCCCCCCTCCTTTCCCTCCCCCACACCAGGCCTTGTTACTCTTTCTTCTTCGATAATCTCATCACCTTGTAGTTGTGTTTCCCTTCCACCGATTACCAGAAAGGGACGACATCTTCCCCTGGGGCTACGGGCCACTTGTACTTTTTATGAAAAATTGCCTCTTCCTTCCCTAGGCTCCTGGGACAGCAGCCTCTCCCTCCACCTTCCCTCCCCCGAGCTATTAAAGTCTACCATTTCCTCTGAAATCTAGTCCCAGATCTGAAAGGAACAAGCGATCGGAAAAGAAAATCTGGAATGAGAGTGTGGCTTTTACTTTCTTAATACTTTGTTATTTTTGTTCCGTCCTCCCCCGCCCCCAGCCTGCATTCTTTTTACGAGAAAAAAAAAATACTATAAAGCTATTTCCATTTTAGAAAAAAATGAGTGGAAGCTGGAGAATGATGTTGGGTGATGGCCTCCAAAAGTCCCACATTTTCTCACTTGGTGGAGAGTGTTACACACTTCACTCAAAGCAATCTTAATGTCTTCTGGGGCCTAGCACACAGCACAGCCCTGAATGAGCTAATCAGTGTGTCTGGCAATATGTAAATCCTCTGACTAGACCAGTCTTCTAAATAGGAGAGCTACAGACTTTCACCTGCACCCATTAGCAAGGTGGAGGCATTGAAGCCACAAAAGCCAGAACGCAGGAAAAAAAAAAAAAAAAAAAACCTGAGGAGAAAACATAAGTGCACAGTAGGTATCTGTGAGATAAAGCATGCACACTGAAAAAATGAGTGTGCATAAAAAGAACATTACAAAATACACTTGGTCAAAATAGATAGTATCATCTATAAACGAAATAAGTATTAGAGGAACACAGACCAAGACAAAATTGGCTGAAACCGGAAACTAGCAATTAGTATGAAACTATTTCACTCACTGGTTTGATAAGCTGAATAATTCACCCATCATCAATGATTTAACTTTTTTAAAGTAGGAAAAGGAATAAAATAATTACATCCCCTCATTATTTAAGTTAACCAGATTTGATTTCAGTGGCTTGCAACTAAACAATCTTAACTAAAGCACAATACAAAAACAGGTAACAATACAAAAAGTAATATAGCTTTTCAGAACATAGGGTCTTCAGTGAGATATTCCTTAATAGTTTGAATAAAAGGTTATTATTTGAGTATAACTTTTAAAATACCCAGACAATATGGGAGTAAATCAAGAGACTGAGGAGGTTGAGAACAGGCAAACCCCCAGGAAAATTCATATCTATGTAACTTCTGGGAGGCAGTACTAGAATGTGATTGAAATTTATTTAGTAAACAGAAACCAAATCAACTGTATGATCCTGTGTTTAGAGAAAGATCATGTGTAGCAAAGGGGCTCATTCAAGCATAGGAACATATGAAAGGGACAGTCAGAAGAAAGTGTTGGTATTTCCCACCCAAGCACTGTCTGGAGGAGAAAAAGTGTTGGCTAAGGAGAATGGAACATTTCGCTTTCTCTGGCAGAGTCATGCCCATGATGTGTAATAGTACTTCATGCTTCCTCAGCTGAAACTCCCTTCTTAAGATGAACAAATACCCTCGCTTTGATTGCAGGCTCACCAAACAACCTTTGAAGGTTGTGTTTTCCGAAGTAGTAGCTTGTCTACAAGGAAAGAATGGGCAGGTAAGACTGACTGAAACCTCCAGTACCCCCTGACAGTTGTATTTCTCAGGGCAAATTATTCAGTTGTCACTCCTGTTGAAACAGCCTCCCTTGTGGTCTACTTATGGGGAGAGAATGCAGAGATCCCTAGGTTTGAGCATTCAGATCGATTTATATATAAGTCTCTATGAATGGGAGACTTTCCTTGAGGCATCCAGAGGCAACTCTTCTCAGCATACAAACAAAATCAGGATTTGGTCATGCAATACTGAGGAAGAGACCCTGAACTACAGACGCAACCTTGTGGGAATCCTGTGGGAGAAGCCAAGTGGCCTTGGCTCAAAGGACAACCTTGTGCATCACCATTTCATAACCATACCTTTCTAATGTTTAGTTAATGGTGGAAATTACAACTAAGATACTCTGTGGCATATTATGCCCCCAGCACTTCCGTTATAGATAAACAAAGGGTTAATTTCCAAAGTGGTTAAAGGGCTCCTGCAAATCAACAACAACATCTGAAACAGTTTAAATTTCTCCCTGGGAAAAGAAAGGAAGTGCATTTTACATTTTACATACCCTATTGTTTTCCTCAGCCAAAGGGTGGGTATTGTGCCCAAAACAGACCAACCAAAAGCTGTCTTACTAAAATTTCAATCTTCATCAGAGAAATAAAAACCTGAAAACCGGTGGACTTGTGACATCCTGAAAAGACATCTATCAATTTCTCCTACCTAAACCCCTCGGAAATGAGCCTGGTCTTCAACATTTCCTCCTTAAGCTAACCAGGCTTGTTCTATGTCGCTTGCAACCACACAACCTTAAGTAAGACACAATACCAAAATTACACAATACAAAAAGTAGTATCTTTTCAAGATAACATCCTTCTATAATTTATTTTTTTCACCCTCCACAATTCCATTAGTGTCACCATTTGCTGATCGTTTTTTTGTTTCTGGGTACTTTATAAGTTACATATCACACGTGAACTGATTTAAGCCAAAAGTTTTGTTTTGGCAGTGGTTTCACAGTAGTTTTTTGCGGGCTGAGGAACTTTTAACTGTCCTGTCTGAGGACTTCTTTAAGCATTTTCCTTTCTCACTTTTGAACGGTATGTGAGCCTTATAACATGTCCTTAAGTAAATATTTGTTGGTAGATGTATAATGGAGAGCAAAGTAGTTTTTTCTTTCTTTCTTTCTTTGTTTTTAATGCTAGTCTCCAGGTAGGAATTGGTAGAATCATGGATCAGAAGAACAAAGAGGTAAGAGAATCGAAAGGGTTTTTATAACCATGGGATTTTAGGAAGTTTTAGACAGGGAGTGGATTCAAACCAGGAAAGGTCTGGCATACTGGGAGAATGGTAGTGAGAAGTTATACATTGGACTAACTGGAGAATATACCAAAAGGGTGGAGATAGGTTATACTAGTGAGGAGAGGGTAGGAGTAAAGTTTTTGTCCTTGAAGCCTGACTAAGTGTTGTGAAAGTAAGTTCTTATTGTAAATCCATGTCTGTGACACCAAGTCATCTGTCTTTATTAAGCTTTACATACTCCTTAGTTTTTTTAATGTATATATTCAAAACAAACAAAAGCCACTTATACAACTACCTAGCAGCCAAACACTGAATGATGGACTGTTGAATCTGAGAATTCTGTTAGTAAGCCTTCATAAGTATAATTCACTTGTCTAGGGGAAGTAAATAAAGGGTCATAAAAAAAAATGAGGTAAAGATTTAGAGAGATTAAGATGTGATATTGGTGAGTTTGGACTATAAAAGGGGAAGACCAGAAAGTTGTGACATATTGACTTCTGAATATTCACCAGCAAGGCACTAGGACTCCCTGGCTTGCCTCCTGAAAGGGCCTCCTCCACACAGGGGCCCCTCACTGGGGAGCCCCTCCCTCTGAGGTGTCATATTTCAGTGTTCTAAGAGGTTGCCTGGAGTGTCTATATTTAGAGTGTGACTCCTCAGCAGGGACAGGTGGATGCTTGAGAACTAACTTCTGCATACTTGGTCCCTGAGTTTTGGGATTATTCTGAGGGGCTTGTACTGGTGGCTTGGTGAAATTGTAACAGAAGGCAGGAAGCGTAAAGCCCTCTTTTTTCTGGCAACTGCTTGAGATCCTGTGCATTGCCCTTCCACTTGTGAGGGAAAAAAATGACACAGACATGAGGGGTGTTGCAGTGATTCCCAGTCACCCACAGACCCTCACCACCATCTCCACTGGAAAATGCCGAACACTCACCACTGCTAGGGTAGCATACAATACATGAATGGCAGACAGCAGCAAGATCACCAACAGTGTCATGATGGAAAGAAAATTACCTCAAGTCTCATTTTCATCAATAGGATAACAAGAAATTATCTAATTTCTGGATGATTTATGGGTTGCACCACAAACTTCAGAATAGATTTTAAATAAAACCCTGTGAATTAAAGGCAGGCTTATCTGTGGAGTCACTAATCTGTAAAGTTCATCTGAAGATGTAAGATTCCTCTGAAGTTGGGGTTTGCAAAAAAATCTGTCTTTTGAAGCCAGAGTGAAAGTCACCCAGCAATCTTCTATGAAGATGTCAGTCATATTACACCTAATACTATGAGTTCAGCCAGGAGAAGGAAAGGGACAATAGTTCACATACTTAAAATGGTCAAAATTAGAACACTGACCTTCTCAGTATAGATTCATTTGTCCATCAATTTATAAATCATGTTGAAAGCACAACTGGTTTTGTTTGTAAGGGTATGTTTTTCATTTTAATATGTTGTTTGAAAGCTGCTATTTCCTGTGCAGTCAGAAGAAAATATTTTCAACTTAACACAAACTAACTTCACCAAATCAATGAGGCCTCCCTCTTAACTGGGAAATCTTGCTTATGTTATATAAATTTTTGTAAAAAAAAAAAAAAAAAAAAAGGTTTGAATTATTTCTTCTCCAAGTGGGAAAAGCTTTATTTTTTTTTCCGATTACAAAATAGTGTAGTTCAAGTCAATAAAAAAGAAAGGACAAAATATAACTTAAATGTTATTAAAATACTAATTAAAATCTCACCACTGCCTGGACTTCCGTTTCTGCCCCTTCCCCCAATGTTGATGCAGACAGAGACTGAACATGGAAAAGGGTAGAAATTTAAGAAAGGGGCTGCAGGAGTTCCAGAGCCAAGGAAAGGATGAGACAATTCCCCAAGAAGTGTAAGTGAAGGGCAGACCCAGGAAAAGATGCTGCCCCTTCCTGGAATTAGAGAAACACAAATTGAAACACCAGAAAGACAGGGCCATTTCTGGTTTCTGGTATTGTTACAGAGGAAAAAAGTGACAGGGCCCACTGTGGGAGTTGAGGGGGAGATACAAGGCAGGCTGGCGCCTGCCGCACTGCTTGTGGGAGTGGAAATTGGGGGCCAGAACGCACCGGTGACGTGGCTGTCACGTGACCAAGAGCCGCCTAGAGCACAAGTCCTGCTAGTCGCCTCCGTCTGGGTACCAGCCCCCTATTACTCTGCAGGCGTGTGAAGAAAGAAGGAAACTAGCTCGGACTGTGCAGGTCGGTGCGAGGATGGGCGCTGCTTCAGAGGAGGTATGGGTGGAAGAGGGCCAAGAACGCCACAGATCCGAGTTCAGGCCGATCACAGCTGGGTCCTTTCTCGCCTACTTTCTAAA